TGGGTTACAATATTGGAGTTTTAGTAAGGATCCCTAATTTTTTTCAAAAAAGAATATAGCCTATGTCACTTGGGAATAGTGTAGCTTCCAAATAGTGAAAGAATTTTTCAAATCGGTTCAGTAGTTTTAGAGCCTATTCATTACAAACAAACAAACAAATCTTTTCTCTTTATAATATTAGTATAGAAGTATAGACAAGAGGGTCAATATTATTGGTTGGAAAGCCTTCATTTTGTTTTGTTCGAGAGCCGTATGGAATTTTGATTATTATGAAGAAAGATTGGTTAAGAAATTCGAATTGAATCGAATTTAAATCATTCAATAGAGTTACGCATTTGGTCTAATATAAAATATAATTTATTCCTAATAGGTAATGTGTCTAATTATTTTGTAGGTACAATCTCTAATACACATGACACGTCCGGTTCTCAATTTAATAATTTAGAAATGCATTTGAATTGAAATGTGTTTACGATAATTAGACAATATCTATATATTAATACGTGAAGCAAAAACTTTGTATCCCTTTTTAGGCAAATTGCGCGGACGGAGGAGCATGAAATTTTCCACACTTATAGAGAATATAGAGAAGAAGTGCACAATGCTAATATTTTTTTAAATAATGCGTAAAAGCTACATTAAATCAATAAAGAAAACATTACACACACTACATACCATGTATTTGACGCACACACGCATGCATACTATTTATTGTCAAACTTTTGTTCTTGACGTCTGTTGTCAAATTGAGAATAGATTAAATATTGTTTGTCTTTATTTAATATCTTTTTATAGAGTAGCCTTAGCGAAATTTGTGATTATAGAAGTATAAAATACAATCATAATAGTGTACAAACTTACAATTCCAATTAATTATAGTCGAATTTCGACTACTGCAGGACCTCTAGTATTATTAAAACATGTGAAACAAACCGGGAACCAGGAAAGCTTTTCGATTCATACTCGTAGGTAGTTTTAAGAGGAATCGCAACAGACTGCATAGAGGAAACATTGATTAGTTATATTTCTTCGATTAATTAATTTTAAAGGTTGTTTAATTATATTAATTTATAAGGAAAACAAAACAAACAGATTAAGCGTATGTTAATATTACACTTACAGATGTGACTTGAAAAACAAGAATTAAACGAATATACGACATTGATGGTTTAAAACAAATTTAAGCCGGTTCGACTGATTAATTGTTGACACATGTGTGTATTATAATATTCTTGGTAGACTGTCGACTCCAATGTTGTTGGTTCGGAACTTGTATAATAATAATAACTAGAGGTCCTGCAGTAGTCGAAATTCGACTATAATTAATTGGAATTGTAAGTTTGTACACTATTATGATTGTATTTTATACTTCTATAATCACAAATTTCGCCAAGACTACACTATAAAAAATATTAAAAAAGACAATATTTGATCTATTCTCAATTTGACAACAGACGTCAAGAACAAAAGTTTGATAATAAATAGTATGCATGTGTGCGTCAAATACATGGTATGTAGTGTGTGTAATGTTTTCTTTATTGATTTAATGTTTCTTTTATGCATTATTTAAAAAAAAAAAATTGCATTGTGCACTTCTTCTCTATATTCTCTATAAGTGTGGAAAATTTCATACTCATCCGTCCGCGCAATTTTCGTAAAAAGGGATACAAAGTTTTTGCTTCACGTATTAATATATAGATTTACGTAAGATTTTCTGGAATTTTTTCATTGATGCGCTTCAAGTTTTCGTCGGTCTTCTTGGTGATAAATACTGCATCAGCGTTGCCATTACTTACGTATGTACTTTCATTTATTTTCTTTTTTACCACCTAAATTTTTGTAGCAGAAAACGTGTTTAGGAGCTTAACATACTCACTGAACAAGATGAAGACTTAATGTATTACATTAAAACGCTGCAAAGCATTCGATTTCATACGCATTACCGAGAAGTTGGGAAACATAATTTGTTAGCGTTTAGGCGACGAAAAACATAAACAAAACAAGAACTTGTTTTCCTTGTTCATTATGGTTTTTTTTTTTTTTTTTGTAATAATATTGTGCTCGAAATCTATTATAATACGATTAATAAGCAATTGATCTCGTTATAAAAACTTGATACGACATTGAAGGTTCAACGGTAGCCATTTTGTTTTAAATCCAAACCGGTCTGTGGCGAGCGCGGTGTATTTTTATTATTTTTAATTGTGTATATCAAAGTATTTTCATTTACCTACTAGATTAAAAAAAAAACACTAATGAAGTATTTCGCTCGATTCTTGCGACACGATTAAAACTATTTTTACGGTTTATTGACTGACTAGGAAATCTGTAAATAATCGGAAACGTCGGGAATTGTCAATTAATAAATATACTAAGCGCGAAATTAAATCGTAAAAGTAGTTTTAGTAATAGCGATAATGAATTTAATACATTTTTCTGGCTCCGTGCGGGCTGTGCTGAAAATTTTGTGAAATCACTAATAGCTATGAAATTAGAACGTTTTTTTTGGACAGGAGGAAATCGTCGGACTTCCGGGACTTCCTTGGAGGACGGGGAATGTCGGAGTCGAACTGACTAAATCCTCCTGTCGTTCAACAACCCAAGTCTGAATCTCGCATGACACAGAAGTCATGAAAAGGCAACGGGGGGGAAATGAAACGTTTAGTGCGGAGCGCATCTCTCCCATCACCCTCCCCCTATGAAATAAGAACACTAATTTTAACCAATAGTTAATGAACATAGAAGGCTACGTAACTTTTGATATAAAAACAACGGTTGGAGAAACAGAGGAACACTATTCGAACTGAAGCTCTGTACGATAATGTTATCAAGCGAACGACATTATCAAATGAGCGCATAATACCTTAAATGCGAGGGTCATTCAGAGCGTATGGGTTATCGGCGCCAGTGCCGTGGTTCGCGGTCGGCAAGCATGTTTGGCCACAGCAAATACAACAGAATAACGCAATAAACCAATAGTCTATTGTTACAAAGTTTATTAAACACGGAAATTTTCCTATTTTAATCAGCGGGCGTTATTTCGAAAACGAATACGCGAACATTTTACTGTGTTATTATCAAAAAAATATTATAAGATACTCGTTTTCGGACAATTATCGATTATCGACCATAATCACAGACACCACAAGATTGAAGTTCCGTTTTTGTATTATATTTTCTTCTTTGTTTTGTATTATAATATAGATAATGAAAAAAAAAACAATTTTTTATTGGTAACACTAAGTTTGCCAATTGCTACTATAGAAAAAAGAAAATTGGTTGATAAAAAAACAAGAAAATTATATTCTATCTTTGCCTATTAACATCTAGATTATTCCTCGGATCTTACAATTTAACAGGGCTACTGATTTCTGGTTGAAGATTTCGATAGCTGCACCGACTTTTTAGTCGACAATCAAAATAAACCAAACAACCAATAGACCAGACTGCTCTTAAATTTTCCCAGATTTCGTCATTTTGGAGTGTGTCAAGGCACTCATTAAATCATAGATTTAAAGCATCACGTGTTTAAATCAGCTGATTAACAACGGGAAATTTTGGCACATTTCCACCGAGCGCAGGAAACCTGTGAAGATGTTTTATACGAGACTCTATAATCCCTGTTTTTATTTATTTAACAAATGACATATTCTAATACGATACTTTTTATACATCTATTTACTGGTGGTAGGATCTCTTGTGAGTCCGCGCGGGTAGGTACCTATTTCTGCCGTGAAGCAGTAATGCGTTTCGGTTTGAAGGGTGGGGCAGCCGTTGTAACTATACTTGAGACCTTAGAACTTGTATCTCAAGGTGGGTGGCGCATTTACGTTGTGGATGTCTATGGGCTCCAGTAACCACTTAACAACAGGTGGGCTGTGAGCTCGTCCACCCATCTAAGCAGTAAAAATAAAAAATCTATATCGAGTGCTCCAAGACATATTATTTCTGAAGATAAAACTTTATTCTCAATCTTTTAAAGTCCATGCTACTGAAACTCATTCTTAAGATTAGATTAGTTCACATTGTTTTTCGTGAATGTAAAACATAATTATTTTAAAAAAGGATGTTTGAATTTTTCAAAGCGAAATCTAAGATAACTATTATCAAATAATTGAATTAGAATATTTGTTAACTTAAATATAAATAAATCGATAAACAAACTATGCAATGAATCCTCCGTGGTCGAATCGGCAGCACCCTGTATAGTTGTATTGAATTGATTGATGCGTCTATGCTGGAGTTCAAATCGTTTCCTGCATCAATTTAGCACAGTACTTAGCTCGTGTTCACAAACAATGAAGTAATAACAACGATGAAGTAATAACGTTATGCAATAAAAATCAAACCAGGAATATTATACGGGGAGTCGTATTGCGAGCTTAGCACTGGAAGGTTACACCGTCTTGTGTATTCCAGTCCCGTATTGAACGGCACGATTTTCTTATTTTGTTGTTGCACTAGACTAGTGTAGAAGTGAATGTCACCATTCAGTTTGTGTTAGAGGTCGAAATGTTTTTTATACCGCTGTCTCGTAATTTTAACTGGAAGACACTGCACTGGTGGTAGGATCTCTTGTGAGTTCGCGCGGGTAGGCACCACCACCCTGCCTATTTCTGCTGTGAAGCAGTAATGCGTTTCGGTTTGAAGGGCGGGGCAGCCGTTGTAACTATATTGAGACCTTAGAACTTATCTCAAGGTGGGTGGCGCATTTACGTTGTAAATGTTTATGGGCTCCAGTAACCACTTAACACAAGGTGGGGCTGTGAGCTCGACCACCCATCTAAGCAATAAAAAAAGACAACTGTTTCACAACAAAAATAGGCAGGATGGTGTCATCTGCCCGTGTGTGCTCACATTATCACCATTCATCGTCGCGTTTCAAAGCTCTGAGACGCACTACTTAATAGCAGCCGAGTCCCAAACCCGTGTACTTCATAACTGCATCGACAACAAGCGTCAAACCGTACATAATTCGTCAATAAACAAACAGAACTCACATAAAATCTTCCAAATCGACAACATTCGTATACTGGCACGGCTGACCATCAACATTATAGCACATAGAACTGTAATCCCACTGTTGAGATTGTTGGCACGGAAGGTTCGGTATCACGGGCTGTCTTAAATAGCCCACTTGAACGTCTCCTAAATTGTAAACCTCTTGTGGGGGATAATACGGAGCTGGGACACTATACGGATTTGGATCATTACTGTAACACTGATTTGTAGAGTAGTTCGAATTGTAACCACTGTGAGTGCACATGCGATTATCCGGAATCTGGTTTTGGTTCATTTCGTGGCACTGAATGTTCCATGCCGTTGCCTCCGGCTGTCCCACCACAGCAGGCTGACCGGGATACTGGTGCCCATAAACGAGCATTGTAACACACGGATTCTCACATCAGACAATGCAACGAAGCAGTCCATCGAGGCGCGAAATCAACGAGCGACTGATAACACCAAAGATGGCGTTATCTCATGTATAAAAGGCATGGCAGCAAAACCTGATAATAACAAATGTATTAGATAACATTATTACGACCCTGGTAATATATCTTTTCTCTATATCAGTATCCTAATATTCAAAGAAATTGAAAATATATCGTATTGACATTTTTGAATGACCGATATTAATTAAGTACCTGTATTATTTCACAGAGCTTTTGCTATTCTTTTAAAATTAGGATTAAGAGGGTAGGACACTTGAAAGAGTCGCAGATAGGTATACCTTTGCATTCAGATCGCTTTTTCAATCTCATGAAAGTCAATTGTGATGAGAGGTGAGATGATTTTATTTATGAAAAGTGTATGGTTTCGGGAGGTAGGTTTGTTATGTTTATTGAAAACAAAAATACTTTTAATTTTAATCTTCTTCACATTCATTTCGAACACTACGGTTTTGGGTTTTTTATTTTGTGAAAACGACACTTGTTGACGGACGAGCTAACGGCCCACCCGGTGTTAAGTGGTCACGGGAGCCCATAGACACCTACGACGCAAATGTTGCCACCCATCTTTTTCTCTGTGTTTTACAGTACAACGGCTGCCCACCCTTCAAACCGAAACGCATTACTGCTTCACGACAGAAATAGGCAGGGTGATAGTACCTACCCGTGTGGATTCACAAGACGTCCTACCACCAGTGATTATGGAAATTTGAAAAAAATACAATAAAACAATTTAAATAACACGAGATTAAACCGTATAAGTAGTTTTACATGGATTTTTTAATAGAGTTCATAGCTGATTAATCTATTGTTGAGTGATCACCGTAGCCCATGAAAGGTGAATGCCGCCATCCGTTTTGAGGCTTGAGGTCGATGTGTTAATTGTACTGCAGAATGGCTGCCGTTAATCTTTAACCGGAACAATATATATGACAATACCAACAAATATAATCATAATAAGATTAAATAGGAATAGGTCCAGGGAGGTATCTAAGTAGATTTGCAATTAGCATTAATAAATTAATTTATCGGATATTGCACAAGAATCTTGCATGTTTAATAATTTGATAAGGTGGCTCATTTAGAAAACTGGTCAATCTAGTCTACCGACTTGTTCTCCGAGAGCAATTCCAGTCCATATCGAAGTACACAGCCTTACAGAAAATATAACACGTTGCTGATAACTTATTTCACGTATTTATTTTACTTTGATATCATTTATACAGTACAAAGGTGCTGTACCTTAATATTTCTTTTCTATTATTATAAAGCGTAAACAAACCTATTACGAACTGTGTACCAACTTCTATTCACATTTAGATTTAATTCCATTTCATGTTAAATATTTTATTTATTAATTCACTTTTAGCAATGAGTCATTCATTTAGAGCAGTGTAATCATGACTGACTTTTATTATTTAAATGTGCCTATACTAACTCTTGTTACAACTTACGTTCTTAAAGTCTTTGCATAGATTTGAAAACTGAACTCACTATTTTTTTAGGCAAATCACAATCTTACGCATGTACTTTTAAAGCTTAAATTTTATCAATAACCAATGTATGTCTTGCAGGACATAATAGTCTTTATGTTAACGTCATAAGATAAAAATTTGTTTCAATATATATTTCTTTTGTCTATAAATTGTTGTCGTTACTTTTACGCTAACTGTGTATATGGTTAGATAAGGCCCGATTCTGCTGCCAACTTGATTTATAGCTGTTTTTAACCGAAATTACAAAAAAAATACAAAAAGTTAGTACATTTAAAACTTTTACAATTACAGTGACTTAAAACAAAACTACCCTAATACAATAGTACTATACAAAGTAAACAAAGTATTTATAAAGTGCCGCTTCGAAAGCCTTATATAATTTTATCACCGTGAACGACAAAGTAAACTTCAAAGAATTTAAATGGATCAGAATATATCAGAATTGATTTATGTCGAGAACTTGAGTCTCTTCGTATTCATCGTCTTGTCACATCCTTGTTTGAAGTCCACGTAAAGGCGTTTTACAAACATCTGTTTAGTTGAATTTTTTGTTTAGTGAAAGTCAAAAGAAACAAGTCATTAATTACACCCTTATTGAGATATGTGAGTCTTAATTACAATCGCAACAATTTTGCATTCACACAAGAATGGCGCACGGAGACGAGATATAGCCCGAATAATAAGTTTGATCACTATCGATATATCTAAGAACTCTATTGATTTCGGGCAAGCGTTACTAACTTTGAATAACGCTGAATGTGGTAGAGTGTGAACGAATATCAAAACTGGCTACGACATGATAGAAAACGAATTTAAAACGTTCATTTCTAAATTTATCGAAACATATTCTCAGACAACACGATATCCGAAATACGACAATGTCCAATCGTAGATAGTTTATCATTTGCGTCAGTCAAGTCGAAATATAGTGCATTCCTCTGCAGCACGCTTCTTATCAGAGCGACGCAAATATTCGATACGTTTAGTGGCATATTTTATATCTTTTAGAAGGGTCCTATCCTGTTTACGACCGAGATATTGTCATCACTATTTTTGGAAATCGCTTCATTGTTTTTTATGTCAGTTTTTTGTTAAATCGTGATCAAAATACCTCGTTACAATACTAACTTGTTATACTATACTATAAGCGACACGGATATGTACAGAGATGGCCATTATTCAATTTTATAATCTCAATATAACATTATTGTATTGACGTCAATAAAACGCCGATAATGGATTGTGTATTATTTAATGTTTCATCTTTTATAGACTTATTTATGCAAAACTTGACATACGCAGAATGAAGAATGAATTGCGAATTTAAGATTGTTTTCATAGTTAATAACGAAAGAAATACTTTTTTTTTTATTAGCTCGAATGTCAAAGAGAGTGAAGGAGCGATATCCCGTGATTTATCTTCATGGGCACTCACAAAAAAAGAGGAGCCCGCGGATTTAAATTACTTAAGAAGCTTACAAAGATTCACGCTCCAGCGAGTTTTGAAGATCCAATCTTTACATTACTTATCTCCGGAGGGAGGTTGTCGAACCTGTCCGCCTTGCCTGAACTGGGACGATGTTTAGAAGGCATTATACTTATATTACTTTAAAATTTTAACTATACTTGAGAAGTTTTCATATACTTAGCAGTTAACTATTTTTTTTATTGTATTTTTTATTTATTACGTTCACACAACATGATAAAATCTACACACATTAACATTTAACTTACAATAAAAAAAAACGTGTACATTATTCAATTCACACTTTTGGATGTGAGCATAATTTGCATAAGGTCAGTTGTGTTAAAAGTCGTCTGAGCTTGACTTTTAAACATATATACACTAAGAAAATAAAAACAAACTGCATATAACAAAATCAAATCAAAATCAATACCCATAAATATAACCATAAATGGACAGAAACTCGAATATGTAGAGGAATATGTATATCTTGGCCAGATAATATCACACAACGACCAAATGTCTAAAGGAATAGACAAAAGAATTGCAACCGGATGGAAACAATATTGGCCCTTGAAAGAAATTATGAAAAGCCAGGAATTGGGCATTAAGATCAAGAAGAAGACATTTGATACCTGTATCCTACCCTGCATCACATATGGTTGTGAAACCTGGGCTTTGACGAAACATCATAGGGACAAACTAGCAAGATGTCAGAGGGGTATGGAAAGGAGCATGCTAGGCTTGAAACTAAAGGACAAAGTTAGAAGTGTAGACATCAGGCGCAAAACGAAACTAACAGACATCCTGTCACGTATTGATCAATTGAAATGGAGATGGGCAGGGCATATGCTCCGCTGCAAAAAGGAAAAATGGAGCAAACAGGTGACAGTATGGTACCCAAGGGATGGAGCGAGGAGCCGAGATCGTAAACCAAGAAGATGGGAGGACGAACTTAAAATTACCTGTGGACCCCTTTGGGTTAGAATAGCAGCAGACAGAAAGCAGTGGAAAGAGTTGGAGGAGGCCTTTGCCGAAAGGCACACCGAGATAAGAGACATTTTGTAGTTTAAGTGTAGATTTTATTTTTATATTTTGTTTTAATTTGTTACATAGTTTTTAGTTTTTTTTTTAGTCTACTTAAAATTATTAGCTTAAAATGTAAAATTTTCGGAAAATAAAGGCTTTATTATTATTATATAACAAAAACCATTCCACAAATATCAACTATACACACATCTATGTTTTGGCCCCCAGACGTCCACTACTGGACATAGGTCTCCCCAAAGCCTCGCCATAACGACCAGTCCGGCGCTGACTGCATCCAGCGGATCCCCACGAACCTTACGACCACGTGGGTCCACTTTGTAGGTCACCTACCCACGTGGCTGACACTCGAGAATTTTTCGCCCACCATGGCCATCTGTATTACGAGCAATGTGCCTTGCCCACGTCACTTCAACGTAGGAATCCTTTGGGCTATGTCGGTTACCGTGGTTTTCCTGTGAATCTCCTCATTCCTGATTTGATCTCGCAAGGAAACCCCGAGCATAGCCCTCTTTATTTCTCTTTGAGCTTTCTGGTCCGTTGTGAGCGTCAACAGTTCAAAGGTTTTCGTCATAGTACCATCAACGAACGACAGGTGGCATACGAATAGTTTTAACAAACCAACATTTTGATGGTTCAGCAGCATTTTTGGGTTTTTTTTTTAAGAAATTTCTTAGTTACAAGAATCTAGAATTTTTTACTGCCGTTCACAGTTTCAAGTCCATACGGGTATATGCAGATGCTGGCGCGTAGCAATCATTCGTTCTGGTTTGAAAGATGGGTCATGGATGGATGGGATGGATGGGTCAGAAGTTGAACCATATAAAGGAGACTTCGATCTCACACCTCAAGGTGGTTGGATTCATATTGGCTCGGACTTTTCCAAGATTTATTTTTTCAAATCATAACTAGCACAGTAGAGTAGCGATAATTCACTTGTCGACTGCACAAAATTACACCTCAGAATGCTGTTTATAGACAACCTAGCAAAATGTAATACACGGGTAAAGATTACATTTTGTTTTACTGGTCGCAAGTTCGTGGTTTTATTCTTCCACGTGTGCGCGTACAGTGGTATCCTTACAGAACTTCTGGTGTTTGTCATAATCAAGAAACATAGACGGATAGAAATGT